GGTTTCGTGCGAGTTTGTGTTTTTGCTCGATGGTCCAGGAGGGTCCTCGATGGTTCTCGCCGAGAGCGATGCAAGGTCTAAGGTGGTCCACCTTTCCTGGCGCTGACCCCGCTGACAAAGACAGCACCGCACGTCCAGGCGGCACCGCAAAAGACGGGGAGCCGAGAGAGAGAGAGAGAGAGAGAGAGAGAAAGAAAGAGAGAGAGAGAGAGAGAGAGCGAGGAGGAGGGCGAGGGAGGGGAGGAGGGCGAGGAGGGGAGGGGCGACGAGGGGAGGGACGACTGCTCCTGGGCGCCAGCCAGGGGGGGGGGGGCGAGAGGGACCCCCCCTCGTTCCAGAGCCTCTGCGGACGAGGAGCGCGGCAGGAGCAACGAAGGGATGCCTTCCTGGCCACGGCGAGCCCCCCTGGCCACGGACGGGCTCTCCCCGGCCCAGACTGGGGTCGGGCATTGTCCTCCTGCGGGCAGACGCGGGAGGAACACCCTGAACAAGGGCTCCCAACTTCGCGCTTCGCGCTTCGCGCTCCGCGAAGCGCGAATAACTTCGCGCTCTCGCGCCGCCCCCCAAGGAGGAGAAGAGGAGGACGAGGAGGAGGGGGAGGAGGAAGGAGGACGGCGAAGCGCGAAGCGCGAATAACTTCGCGCCCTCCTGGGAGCCCTTGTCTCCCCGACCCAGACTGGGGTCGGGCATTGTCCTCCTGCGGGCAGACGCGGGAGGAACACCCCGAAGAGAGGTAAGACGTGCGGAGGAATCCGCCGGCCCCCCTCTTGCGGGGCCATCAGGCTGCGAGGCTCAGGTTTGCTGCTCCCTGCACCAGGTCCAGCGTCTGGTTTCCAATGTCACAGTGCTGCTTACTGTAAATTGTTACTGTCCGCGCGAGGTGGGGGGCCGAAAAGGACCCTGATAGGCGTCCCCGAATCGCGAGCTCTGAATTTCTGAGGGGCAGTGGGACACGTAAAAATACATGGGATTCGCGCTCCCGACGGAATACTCATTTGTGGATTACACTGTGTTCGCGCCCCGGAGGCCAAGATACCTCGCGAATTACATTGTATTCGCGTCCCCGAAGCCACGATCCCTGGCAACATATTCTATAGTTACGCTCCTGATGCCACGATCCCTCGTAAATTACCCGCATTCTTGCCTCTGGGGCCACGATCTCCCGTAAATTGTGCCACAGTCGCGCCCCCGAGGCTACTCCCACGTAAAAATTACGCCGCATTCGCGCCCCCGAGGCCAAGATTTCCGGCAAATTACACCACAGCCGCGCCCCCGAGGCCACGATCCCGTGTAAATTACGCCACATTCGCGCCCCCGAAGCCACGATCCCCCCGAGGCCACGATCTCCTACAAGAGGCCCCAAGAGGCGCCCAAGACGCACCCAAGATGCCTCCAAGCCTAAAATATACCCCACGAGGCCCCCAAACCGCCTAAAAGAGGCCCCCGAGAGGCTCCTAACGACACCCCAACACATACAAGAGGCCTCACACCTACAACCTAGGCACGGTGGCGGGATGGGGCGAAGGCCACTAGGATAACGCCAAAGTTTCAATATGAGCTGATGACTCCTATCCGCCCCCGCATGCTGTTCCCAGATGCGCAAAGGCAGCGCCGAGACGCACCGACGCGACTCTGTTATACCCGTTATGATAGAGAAAAGGGCCGGCGGCAGGGGGCGAAGCCCTTACGGATAATCGTCAAAACATAATCGAAACATCGTCCCCCGACTATTTTTTGAGCGTTCTTGAGTATTCCTCCTGTAGAGGGACATGCCCGACATAAACCCAAACCTCAGGGACGGCCACACTGCATCTGCGCAAACGTTCGACGGTCCGCTTGGCTCTCTTGGACCTGCGCAGTTCCCTGGTGCACGGAGAGCGCCACGGGGCGGCGCCGGAGGCGCCGCCAGGAGGGCTCAGAGCAGATTCAAGAAATCCGCGCGGACCGTTGTTGGAGGACTCCTGCGTAGACGGGGTCGGAGTAGATGGGGTCGGGGGATCTCCACATCGAGCCGCATCGCCGATGCATCGGCGATGCGGCGGGATCCTTCGACCCTATCGGGGAGGCCTCGAGCTCTTCTCCTTCGATGTGGGGTCGCCGCCCGCCCGCGGCTCGGGCCCCTCCTCCCTCGGTCGGGCGCCTGGGCCCCTGGAGTTGGGTCCGCATCTGCTGGCCGACCCCCTGGGCCTCCTTCTCCCCTCCCCCTCCTCGTCCTCCTCCTCTCCTCCTCCCCCTCCTCCTCCTCCTCCTCCTCCTCCTCCTCCTCCTCCTCGTCCTCGTCCTCGTCCTCAATTGCCCTCCTCCTCCTCGTCCTCGTCCTCCTCCTCCCCATGCATCGGATGTCTGGAGAGGTGGGGCCAGAGGTGGGGCCAGAGGAACTGCGCTCTGCACGGGCCCTGCCTGAAGCATCGCACGGCCTCCCAGCGGCCTCGCTCCCAGACCGCACCTTGGGCTGACCTTCCCCCCTCTACATGGGGGGTCCCGAAGCCGTGCGGTCACAAACCGCGTGGTGACCTCGGAATCCCTAACGAGCTCACCGCCTGGTCCGTCGCCGCACGGTTTTGGGACACTGGAGGTTCCCCATCGTCCGAGACGTCCTTGCAGAACGACCCGCATCCCAAAACCGTACGGTGACCCCGAATCCCCACCGAGTCACCACACGGTCAGGTCACCACACCGTTGGGGCCCCCCGGTCTGCGGACGCCCAGGGCCCAGTGTCCACCACCGCCCGCCGGCACCACCTCCACCACCCCTCCGACCTCAGAGGGGCAGCGGAGGTCCCCAAGACAGCTCCAAGAGGGGGCCCTGGTGGGGAAAGCCACGGCGGCCCAAAGGCGCCTCCCCCTCCAAGAACGGAGCACTGGCCACCGCTCGGACGTCCATGTCCTGTGCTTTTTCGGCTTCGTGCGTGGCTTCTTCGCGAAATGACCAAGTATGCTCCTCGATGGTCCTCGCCGAAGGAAAAATGCACACGTCCGAGCGATGCCAAGAGCAGGAGCAGGAGCAGGAACGGAGAGGACCAGCGAGGGCGAGGAGCAGCGAGAGCGGGAGCCATCGGGCTCGAAGCCTCTCGGGCTCTACGGGCCACCGCCGGCACCGACTCCGCCACCCCTCCCTCTTCGGCATGCTGTCGAGCCCTTGGTGCCCGTGGCGTCCGCACGCACGCCGCGCAACAGCCAGCATCGGTTCGAAGGCCAGGAGGCCAACAAGGAAACCAACACATGGGCCAAGAACTCCAAGCAGTGCGCACAGCGCCTTCCAGGCCTACCAGAGCGCTCCAGGCACGCGCCAAGAAGGCTCCGAGACGCCCCCGAGACGGTCCAAGGGGCCCCGAGTCGCCGAAAGATTGCTCCAAGACGCCCATGCTGGTCTCCAGACGGCCCTAGACGCCGCCGAGTAGCTCCAAGAGAGCCTCACCAGGCCCTCCAAGAGGGCTCCAAGCAGCAACAATCGCCCCATGTCCTTTGGAACACGTGCATTTCTGGCATAGACGACGTTCGGAGGTTCACAGCGTCCAAGACTGCCCAAGAGCCTCCCAAGGTCGCACCAAGATGGCCGAACTTGCCACCGAGATGCGCCCAAGAGGGCTCCAAGACGGCCCAAGAGGACTCCAAGACGGCCCAAGACGCCCCCAGAGAGGGAACTCGAAATGCCATTTGAAACTTTCCGACCCGAGGGGCCCCTCCGAGACCGCCAGCAGGCTCCCAAGCAGCACCCAGAAGTCCCAAGAAGCCCCCGAGAGGCCCAAAATCAAGCCCCCAGGGCAACCGAACGGCCCTGACGAGGCCGCAAGAAGCTTCAAAACTGCCTCTAAAAGGCTTCTGAGATACCTGCCAGGAGACCCCAGCACCGCCGCATCAAATGTCCCCTGCGCTCCATCGACAAGCCCCAGCAAACCCCCACGAAGGCACCCGAAGTCCAACAAAGCACCACACAACTAACCGCCCCGTGAAAAGCGACCGATCCCCCTGACAACTCCCATGAAATCCAAACGAATCGCCCCAGCATCATGCCCCACGCAACGCCTTAGAAAACAGCCGACGCCCCTGCAGCTCAACACCGCCAACGACCACTCGGCCAATCGACGCAGCAGTGCCTCAAAAAGGGCCGGCGGAATGAGCGAAGCGATTGAATAACTTCTCCCTGTCGCACCCCGAGGCCCGGCGTTTCGCCTGAGACTTCCTCATCACTTATGACTCTGAAGATTAAAAATTGGCAACAGTTTCGCAGATCGAGGGCGGGTCGTCTTCAAAATGTGGCTCTCGCCATAGCGCGGCGCACTTTCGTTTCAAACATTGCAAGAGCTTCACGGATCGAGGGCGGGTCGTTTTCAAAATGTGGCTCTCGCCTTAGCGCGGCGCAGATTCGTTAAAATGACAAGCGTTTCACGGATTGAAGGTGGCTCCTTTTCAAAATGTGGCTCTCGCCATAGCGCGGCGCACTTTCGTTAGAACAGATTACAAGCGTTTCACGGTTTAAAGGCGGCTGGTTTTCAAAATGTGACTCTCGCCTTAGCGCGGCGCACATTCGTTTGAAACAATTGCACGAGCTTCACAGATTGAGGGCGGGTCGTTTTCAAAATGTGGCTCTCGCCTTAGCGCGGAGCACATTTGTTTGAACAGATTGAAAGAGTTTCACGGATTGAAGGCGGTTCCTTTCCAAAATGTGGCTCTCGCCTTAGCGCGGCGCACTTTCTTTGTAAGCATTTGCAAGAGCTTCACGGATTCCCATCAACAAAGTGTCAGAAATAATGTTTTGAACGGATTCAAGATTATGCGGGTGCAACAATTATGTTGATTCGCTGTGTGGAAGTCCCAGGAAGAGGGTTCTGGCACGATTCTGGATTGTCAAGACGCAACAATCAGGTTGATCCGATGCGTTGGAGTTCCGAGAACAATGTTTTGGCATGCTTCAGGGTCTTCAGACGGTTGTCTTCCAAAGGGGCAGTTCTTTCACAGTGGAAATGAACAGTTGTAGGGGCCTGTGGAGGAATGGTTTATTCCAACATCGTTGAGGACTCTTGGGTTTACATTGGTCCTCCTCCTCTTCCTGCTCCTCCGACCCCCAGACGGCTCCAAGACAGGTCGCCTCCGACCACCCCTCCGACCTCCCCCGACACTCGCCAGCCGCTTCGCTTCCCTGCGATCCCGTCGTCCACGCCCTCAGACCTCCGCCACGACGCCATCGACCAAACGCCTTCGATCACCCCTCCGACCCCCTCCGCCACATCCCGCCCGCCGTGAACCTTGCGCCTCCTCCTCCTCCTCCTCCTCCTCCTGCCCTGCTCTCCTCCCCGCCCCTCCCCGATCCTGGCGGGCCCTCGCCAGCTCCTGCTGCAGCTGCTTCTCCCTCTCTGGGGCGGCGCGCAAAACCAAGACGAGGCCAGGACAGGGACAGCATCGGGCAGGGAACAAAAATCACAGGCCTCCTAGATGAGGTTCGAACAGATGAAATCGGAGGAGCGCGCCACGTCGCCGATGCTTCGGTGACGTCGGCGTGTAGATCCCCGATGCATCAGCGATGCGGCGCGATCCCCCGACCCCACCTACTCCGACCCCTTCTGGAAGCCCAGAAAATAAGGGATCTCTGAGGTCCGGCGGGCCTACAGGATGCATCCGTCGCCGCGGCCATCTCAGAGCGTTCTGGAACGCTCTGGAATGATTTTATCTCTGTCCTAGCACCGCCCGAACCCGCGCAGACCAGTCAGCGCAGACTGGGCACCAGGTTCAATGAGAAAGCATTGAGAAATGTGGGCTTAGTGACTGGTTAATGGTGACTGCCTAAAGCCTCTGTGGGACTGCACGGGATCGCGGAAGAGCCGTCCACGACAGCGCGCAGACCGGCCAGCAACAAACCGGGCAGCAAGCCATGGAGACCCCTACAGCATATGCAAAAACTGGAAATCCAATGAAAGTGGGCGTGGCCAAGACTGGAAGTACCGTGAGGGCCGAACCGAGCCCGAAGCCGCTGGGACGAGGCCGACACAGATAGGGAAACCATAACGAAACTGGAGAGATTGGAAGGGCTGGACCTGGGATGGAGGCATCCCAAATGGGGTCCGAGAAGATGGGGTCAGATAATCGCGCCGTATCGCCGATGCATCAGCGTCGACGGCGTGGGAAAGATAGGGCTTCGCATCGAGCCGCATCGTCGATGAGGCGCGACCATCCGACCCCATCCACTCGGACCCATCTGCGACGCTCGTCGACGCTGCATCGGCGCTATCCCACCGATCACCAGACACTGGTCGACGCGAGTGCACTCGGACGACGACACTGCGAGGGCACACAGAGCTCCCATGGTCTGCTCCCGATCCCCCGCTGCTTTGCTGGCGTACACCCTGCGAAATGCTTTAGAAATCATGGGTTAAGAAATTCATAGTCTCAGAATTCGAATGAAAACCCAGAATGTCTGGTCAAATCTTAGGATCTACATTGAAACATTAAGAATCATCGAGACTCTGGCCGAAAACTTGGGTTTTCTTAAGCATCGCCTAGAGCGTACTTCGGCGATCCTCTCCTCTCGGCGCGCGCCGCCCACCTCCGCAGCACCTCGCCCACGTCCGACGGCCCGAGCTCGGAGAACGGCCCGCCCCCCGCCGCGGCGTCCACGGGCTCCCCGCGCTCGAGGCCGCCCTGGAGCCGCTGCAGGTGCTGCAGGCGCTCCTCGAAGGCCTCGGTCTCGAAGAGGGCCACCGTCCGGAAGGGCTCCGCGACCGTCTGGGTGCCGTCGCCGCCGTCCGTGAGGGCCACCCTGCCGGGAGTGCGCCGGGCGGAGCGGCCGGCTTGTGCCCAGTGACGTTACATGGAGCTGTCAGACGAGTGGCTATAGCTCACTGGCGCACAACTTGTCTGCTATCAGCGAGAGGATGCGTCCATGGTGTTTTGCGTTTGGTGAGGTACTGGCCAGGCCTCCAGACCGCTCTACACCCTGCGAGATGCTTAAGAAATCATGGGTTAAGAAATTCATAGTCTCGGAACTTGAATAAAAACCCAACATTTCTATTAAAATCTTAGGATTCACATTGAAACATTAAGAATAATCGAGACTCTGGCCGAAAACGCAAGTTTTCTTAAGCATCGCCTAAGGTGTATCTCGCGCTTCGCCGAACGCGCGAAGCAGCGGTCGTCCTTGCACTCTCGCGGCGCCCAGGCCTCCGAGCAGGACCACTCCCACACACCCAGACTGCGACGCGCGACCCGTGCCATCGCTCGGACGTCCCTTCTCCGTGCAGTATATGTCCGGTTCGACGTGCTTCTCATTTGTCGTCGCAGGGTGCACGAGATGTTCCTCGATGGTCCTCGCTGGAAAAAATACACACGTCCGCGCGATGCCAAGCCAGCGAAGCCAGGGAGGCGCATCCACCGAGATCCTGGGCCCCAGGGCCGTCCTGGCCAGGGCCGGCGGGGGCAGTGGGCTACCCCCCCCCCCCCACCTGGTGAAGGGCTCCAGCAGGAGGCGGAGGGCGGAATCCATCTTGGAGCCCTTGCTGCGCATCGCCTCTTGGCACGAAAAAATGTGGGTCTGGAGGCAAGCGGGTCCTGGATCCCGGGGCCGCTGTCCAAGACAATATTTTTGGTCGGGCGCCATTCTGTGGACAGCCCGCGAGCCCGAAAACGGCGGAACAAATTGTCCTGGCGAAAGACCCAACAATGCGCAATTGTGAATACCGCGCTATGGGCACCGCTTTCGGTGGAGAGTCTTATGGGGCCACGAACCGTGTGAAGTGTGTGCCACAAGGGGCGTCGGGCACATGCGGCCTGTGCCCGTGGGGCCTTCGGTGGAACTCCTCACTATGTGGCCACGACCCGTGTGAGGGGTGTGCCAAAATGGGCGTCGGGCTCATGCGGCCCGTGCCACTGGGGCCCTCGGTGGACCTCCCTATGGGGCCACGAATCGTGTGAAGGCTGTGCCAAAATGGGCGTTGGGCGCATGCGGCCTGTGCCACTGGGGCCTTGGGTAGAGCTCCCTATGGGGTCACGAGCCGTGTGAGGGGTATGCAAACATGGGCGTCGGGCTGAAAGACGTCCTCCCTGTAACTTTGCTTAGACCCACCTGCTGCTTATATGCTGGACCTGCCGCTTATGCTGCCCTTTACCTGCCGCTTACCACTGGCGCGCCTGCCGCATACCTGCCGCGTATGATTGGCAAACCTGCCGCATCTCTGGCGCTCATTCCGCTTACCTGCCGCTTTTGAATGGCGCGCCTGCCGCTCACCTCCCGCTTAGGATTGGCGCACCTGCCGCTTATCTCTGGCGCTCATTTCACTGATTTGTAGCTCACCGCTCGCTCCGTCCCCCAGCGAAGCCGAGCCGGTGCGCGCGCGCCAACCATCGGACTCGATGTATAATCGAAAAGTCGACTGGGAAAACTGAAGGCGCCGATCGAACAACGTAGGAGGGAGAGGGCGGGAAGGAGTCCTGCCCCAAAGGACAACGGAGGCCGAAGTGGGAGAGGAGGAAAAAGAGGAAGTACGCATTGCAAGAGAAGGGGAGCAAAACGGAATTTCCTCCTCACTCCTCATTGTTCCTGCTCCTCACTCCTGGTCCTCTTCCTCACTCCTCCTTTAGTCCCTTCCTCAGTACCCTTGCCCGCTCCCTCCGCCTCCTCACTCTGACTCCTCACCCCCCTCCTCCTCCTCACCCTTCCTCCTCCGCACTTCTTCCCATCACTCCTTCTCCTCGCTGACTCCTCTTCCTCCTTTTCGCTCATCCTCCCCGCTCACTCCTCCTTCTGCTCTTGCTCCTCTTCCTCGCCCCCCTTCTCCCCGTCATGTGCTACTCTCTCTCTCTCTCTCTCTCTCTCTTTCTCTCCTCATCACTCCACCTCCTTCTCTTCTTCCTCCTCCTTCTCCTGTTTCACCTGGCACCCATCACTATTCATCCGCAGTCCTCCTGTTCACTCCCCCTTCTCCTCAAGCCATTCTCCTCCTCGTCCTCATCCTCCTCCTCGCTGCCACTCCTCCTCACTCCCCCTCCTCACTACTCAACCTCACTCATCCTCCTCGTTCCTCCTCCGCACCTCTCTTCCCCTTTCCCCTTCTTCCGCCGCGTTCCTCCTCCTCCTCCTCCTCCTCCTCCTCCTCCTCCTCCTCCTCCTCCTCCTCTTCCTCCTCCTCCTCCTCCTCCTCCTCCCCCCCCCCGCGCTCTTCCTACTCACTCCTCCGGATCATTCCTTCTCATCTCTCCTCCTCGTACTCTCTCCTCCTCGCCACGCCCCCTCATGCTGATCCTCCTCATCCTCGTTCTGCATCATCCGCCTGGTTACTCATAGGGGTCGTGATTTCGGGGTTTTGGGCGGGCAACATAATGCAATTTGAAACGGAGGGTCGTCGCAAATATTTGCAACGTTTGGGGGGTCTGGCACGAAAAATCACGATCACGTTTTCCTGGGACCACCCAACAAAATATTGCATTTTTTGGAAGCGCGCTACTTTTTTCAAGTGGCCGCGCGCCTCGGGGCCTTGAGCGGGGCCGGCGGAGATTATAAGGTAGAGCTCATTTTTGTTGCCATTCACCGTTGAACTAGCATTGGTTGCAAGGCACATCGTTGGAAATCGCGTTGCCTCGAAGATTGCGCAGTCATGACACACCTTGTCCGTAGCCGTTTTGGCTCAGAATGGATCCTGCACTGATATGGAAACTTCGTTTCATTTTCAGCACGTATGTTTCAGTGTCAAGAGGTTGCGCAGTCATCCCAGAGACAAGCTTGACAGATGTTATATGGTGCTTCGAACATCTTGTAGGTGAGGCGGTGTGCAAAGACGCAGCATCGCAGAGTTGGGATAAATATTACCTGCCTGTTTCAAAAGGTTTCGAGCTCGACGTTGTCTTCGGGGTAATGCAAACACTGGGAGTGGCATGTACTTGGCAAAGCTGGAAAGACGGCTGGGAGGCCGTGCGACCACGACATATAGAGGGATATTGTGTAGTTTTCGATCCTGGCAGCGCGGCTGCAGCTGCTGTACCTCACGACGTCGGGGTCGGCACACAACGGATTGTTCGAAAGCAGTTCGAGCGAGCGAGTACGTTGCAACGCCAGCTGCACGTCGAGAGAAAGGCCTACAAACGTTTGGAGACTAAGCTAGCTGTTGCGACGAATAAGATCGATATTCTACAACAGCAAATCGTAGAGAGAAAATCTGGGCAACACTTATCATATCGTGCTGGGATGAACGTTGCCCTGCGTCGCATCACATCGCGCGTCTCAGCCGCGCGGTGTGGCTTGTCAATGGGCATGGACATTAGCTCGACCACTGTCTCAGCATGGGAGATCAAGGCGGACGCAGCCTTGGTCGCGTCCAGCAGGAGGTTTCACGCAACCACGGCCGATGAGCATGATTGTGCGATTTACTTTATTCGGAGCGATGCGACGAATGCCGAAGTCTGGCAAAGGTCGAAATTAATGACGGTTGTGACTTTTACAGACTACTTCAGTTGGGACAACGAGCAGGAGGAATCACGAAAAGATTTTGCTGACCTGCAAGTCGTCGAGGGATCGACTGGCAGGGATTGTTACGCGATGGTGCTGAAAGCTTTGGAATCGATTGGGGTACCAAGACCATCAGATCCGATAGCAAACAAAGTTTCCATATTTTGCATGGTAACTGACGCTGGTTCCGACGAGTCCAAGATGAGACGCCTTGCAAAGGAGTCCGTTCGGTTGAATGAGGCGCCAGGGGTATACTTCTTCGCCTGCAATTGCTTGCACCACCAGCACCAGCTCATCAAGGGTGCAATGCTGCAGCGAGGTTCAGAGCTCCTCAGGCTGTGGGAGTCGGCTATTGTAAATTATCCTGCGACCGTCGCGAAGATCTTCAACGTATGGAGGGAGCACGCCAGGTCAATTCATTGCTTATGGATTCTCAAAGCGAACGTCGCTTCAGCACAGAAGTTCACGTCTCGCAGGCCGCCGAAGTGCATCGCCAGCAGGTGGGGATCGTTCTTTACGTGCGAGTCTGTTCTCGCTGCCATGCCGAGTAAAACCATGGCCGAAGTATTCATGGCCGCATCGAGCTCAAAGACACGCAAGCTCGCCAAAGAATACAAAGAAGAAACCGACGTGGAGAAAGCAATAGAAGCCATGATGTCGATAGACGAGATCGGCAGGGAGGATCGAGACGACTACAAAGAGAAAGTGTCCAAGTGGTTGTCAGGCGCCACCGCGGGCCTCAATTGTGATATATTTTGGATGGTCTTGCGAATTTCACACCGCGTCGGCACCGTCATTGACGAATTCAGCAATTTTCTGCAAAGTCACGACAAGAGAGTCAAGGCGGGAAAGCCTGGATGCCTAGCGGCGCTGGCGGCGGGCAAAGCAGATTACTTCCATACCAAATTATCTGAGCTTGCTGTTCGACGGTCGGCTTGGGGGGGCGCGCTACAGGAGGATGACGACTTACCCTGTGGCATTCGTGCCAAGGTTCTGATGGGCGCGACGTGGTACGCAGCGTGCGCTGCCGCTGACTTTGATAACCGCATGTGTAGCAGATGCAACGTCTACCCAGTGCGACTGCTGGCGCTCGGGGTTGGTGACCCCGACGGCCCGAACGAGCTGAGGAGGAACATCGCTCGCGACGTGTTGGCGTTTCGGCCTGACACCGACTTGAGCAAGTTGGGGGTGGACTTCAATCTATTCAGGCTCCGCGCTCAGTTCCACGATGATTTCGTGCGAGCTGCGGTCGACGGCAACATGAGTCAGAGCATGAAGTTGTACCGCGTCACGCTCAATATCGGGAGGTCTCCGAGGCCAGATACGCAGGAGGTCGAGGGCATGAACTCGCTCATAACAATTGAGTCCGCTATCGCCCCGACAATATCTTTACCATTGCTCAGCAGTAGGGTCAACAACTCGAAAAGATGCGGGCTCGGCTCACGGAGTGCAAAGATGAGATTGAACTGGAGCGACGTGCGAGGATCCATCGAGAATCTCCGAGACGAGGCAGTGGAACATTTCGAGTCAATCGAAGCAGTCTTGGGTCAGAAAGGCCGCTTCGCGACGCCTCCGCCAATTGACGCTGCGTCCGCCCCAGAACCTGAGAGGGCGCCAGCCGATGGAGACAAGCAGCTAAGGGACAGGGCGTGTAGGGCATGGGCCTCCAATGTGCACGGACGGCGCAACTCCCCAGAGAGGTTCGTCATCGGCGTCGCTGTGGGCGACATTGTGTACGCGCCAACCATTTCGCCCTACAACGTGCAGATGTTCGCCACTGCGACTGACGAGGGCGATGGGCGACCGCTTGAGCTCCATAGTCCGATCAATGCAGTCAGCGGGTGGGATATGTTTACTTCGTTACTTGGTGCAGAAAGGTCGCATTTGGAAGTCAACTTGAAGACGATTGCCTGGTCAGGGGCGGGGTCTTTCGATGTTGTTTCGGAGGAGGTCGTGGCGTGGCCACTACCAGAACTCAGCAAACGCAAATGCGTCGCAGCCGCTCCAGGCCGACCCCCTTCATTGGAAGACGAGGGCGGTGATGCCGACAGCGACGACGACCATGGCGA